TTAAATGCCGCAGCAAGGAGCCCTGGGGAAGCACACCATGGACAAACGCCGCCAGGTAGGGTGGCCTTTATGATGTTTTTCTTACCATCGCCATCAATGTGAGATTAGACAAGGAGTGAAGATAGCAATCATAGCAGCCTCTTATGCCTCCGACAGGAGTTATTTATAACGAGGTTATAATAACAGGGAAAAATGCTTGTAAAGTTACATGAGAAAAGCAATATAAAGCATTGTATACGCAATATGTTAACTATGGGAGAATGTCCAAAAACGTACTTATAGGGAAAAAAGGCCGGAAGGAAATGCGCCAAGAAGGAATCGTCCTGTTTGTGGGTGGTCAGGACACGGCAGATTTATTTCTGAATTTGCCAAAATGAATGTATGTTAATTTTATCATTAAAAAGTCCAACGAACTTTCTTGTATAAAAAGAAACAAATGAGGGAGGATGGGGGCTGTCCCTACCAAGGTTACAGTGACCTTGGGCAAATCCCTGTTTCTGCAGGGGCTTTGGTTTCTACATCCATAGATAAAGGAGGCTGAACAAAACAGCATTGCCCTAATGTGCGCTCCGCCTTGCAGAGATGTCCCAGGAAGGAAAGGCTGTGTGGTCAGTTTGGGGGACTCTTTGGGCTCACACTCTGCCCTGGGTGTGCTCTATACCTGGGAGGCCTCCCCCAGATGGCCACGAGGCTCAGGCACTCCACTCTCTTTTCAAAGGCCACCTTCTCCAAGCACTCAGGCTTAAGTGGCCTCCATCACCACCGGCCCCTCCCTGCCTATCTCCAGCAAGAACTGTGATATCTTTGGTCCTAGGACTGACAGAGAGAGAGATAGGACAAGAGTCTCCAGGTCTGGGTGGTTCTTACTAAATGCTATTCTTCCTAAGTGTTAAAATGTGGCACCGCATTTTACAGAAGCGGCAGCTGTAATCTGATAAGTGTAGCCAACTGCAAAATAAAGAAATCAAATATGTAATTAACCAAATAATGCATAGAAGCAATGGTGGAACCTGCTTTCCGGGAGACAGAGCTTTGGACGTGAATCCCATCTCTTGCTGCAAGTAAATAAAACTACCTATGGACGATCTCAGCTTACTCTTGAACAGAACATGGTGCTTGGCTCAGAAAAGGGAATGATGCTTATTGGAAAGATGGATGGAAAGACGGACGGACGGACGGATGTAATGGCCCCTCTGGACTCAAAATGCACGTTAATGTGTTAAAACTCTGAGAGCCACACTCAAAGCCCTGTTAGAGCTCCGAAATGAGTCACAAGCTCCCCTGCAGCCCCATCCTTCTGCAAGGCATTCAGACAAACCTCCCGGCTGTGGGTGTCCGCCTGGGTCTGGCCGTCCTGAGCACGCTGGGCCCTCTCCTTCCACCGCTTCTGGCTGACGCCCGAGCCCGGAAGTGGCCTCGGCCTGGGAAGGAGATGCGCAGGAGTACACGTGCCAGGACGAGGGAAAAGCCTTTCCTGCAGAGTCTTGAGTTTCTGAAAAGGCGTTCACATCAGAGGTCAGGGTGACCTGGGATGCCCTGAGGCCGGGAGCACCGGCTTCTCCCAGGGCTTGTTTCAAATGCAGATGATGAGCTGACACTGGTTTCTAAACCTGCCACTTCGCTGAGAATCAGAGAAAAATAAACCCAAATAAACCCGTGAAAACAGGAACACTGTGCAGCCCCACGGGGTACGTGGAGGCGGGCAGCGTGCGGGGCCGTGACTGTCCGAGCCCCGTCCCCCTGGCTTCTGTAGCCATGGCACTGAGGGTCGTAGGGGTAACATAAAAGATGGAGAAGCCCGTTTGGTCAAAGGAACCTCAGAAATGCCACAGACCTTGTGACACCAGCCTTGCTGTGGCAGGGAGCCTGGCAATTTCCAATTTAGGCCTGACGAGGTAGAAGTTGCCTCCAAATGTCAGAAGTTGCAATGTTGTAAGCAAATTCTTTTTTCTGCTGTTCCCCATTCTGCCCTGAGGCAACGAGCCTAATAAAAGGAGGAGGAGGAAAAGTTCTGGGTGCTCCCTTGACCAGGGGCTTGTGCCACTGCCACAGGATGTCATCGCTGCACCCCGAAAGATGCCCAGTTATAGATTTTATATGTCAGTGAGGCGGAGTGTTCTACAAGAAAGTGAGACATAGTCTACAGAAGTGGCCGAGAACATGTTAGTAACAGAAAAGCCCTAACGTGCCTCGTTTCCGCCACTCAGAATTTGGCCTTGAAGCCCCTCTCAGTGGAAACTGGGGGAGGGGGGAGGGGACAGAATCATTTGGCTTCCGAGTTCCCTTTCACGGTGTTTCCCCAAGATGGCATGCCATGGAATGTTGATCCACGGCCCACAATCAGCATCTTTGGAGCAAAAGTGCCCCATGGTCAAGTTTGGAAAATGCCAGTGTGAACAGGGTTACTTGGTACAGAACTTTCCAAGGACATCATCGGGCAGCCTGCACTCAGGTCTCTGCACGCTACACACAATATGCCGCGTCTGACACTTTCTAAAGTCATTCGGAGGGTAACGCCCCTCCCCTGTCACTCTCCGCAGCCAAGCTAAGCGCTGATGCGGCCACAGGCCACTGGGAGGAGGAGGATCACACACAGGAAGGACCAGGACAGGCTGGCTCTGTGGGCCAGAAGCTGCTGCCCCGGCCTCTGGGGCCTCTTGCTCGGCAGAATCCTGAAAGTTCCAGGCTGCGTTTGCGTACAGAGGGGTGAGCGGTCGACCAGGCCAGCGCTCGCTGTGTTACCGAGCAAGTAATGCATACCCGCGAGGCTAATATTGGGCTGTTTAAGAATTTCGTTGAAATATAGGCAAGTGTGAAGCTAGTAATAATGGCTTATATACACATCCTTTTCCCATTATTGAGCTTAAAAAATAGTGGAAGTACATGGAAATAATGAAGATCCGACAAGTCAATAATGGGTCCCTTTCCCTTCCCTGGTCCAGTTATTCCCTCAATCATTAATTTCAAAATGATTATTTTGCCAGTATTTCCATAACCGAATAAACAACTGAGTATCATAATTAAGCTGAATTCCTTATAGTTATCTAATCTGATAGATGTTTACACTCCATATGCAAATGATAGTTCCCAGGTGAGGAAAAAACATCTGTATGTGACACAGAATATAGTGTGAATCATAACTAATTTTAAATATTTTAATTTATATACTTCCACGATTATAGGTCAATAAGAAATCCGCTTTTCAGATTTTATTTCATTATAGAATATATTTGGTAAGGATACATACAAACGGAGTCACCTTTAATACACATCGTTTACTGGTGCCTGCACTTCCACAGTGGGCTGGAGATGTCGTAAAAAACGCTTCGAATGTCGCCATCGACCGGCCACTCTAAACAACCAGTGCTGTAGAGTTCACAGAGTTCAATTCATTTACTTGCCTAGAGCAAGTAAAAACCTTCATGTTTGTTTTTAAGTCTGTTTATTACTCTTCTATTTTAAAATCCGAGATACATTCCCCAATGTAAACAGTACATTTCAATCCGTCACACAATCAAAATGGATAAGGCCTTCTTGACAAATGGATGCCGCCTACGTTTTACTCATCAGAACGTGATCTTACTTCATCGCGAAACCAGCCGTCCAGGCACAAAAGACAGGAGAAGCAGCTGCCTTTAGAGCCTGGTGGCGCCTTCCAGACTTCTCCCTGCTGCAGGTTTACGGTATCTTTTCGACTTGGTCTCCTTGGTCTTAAAATACAAATATACAATGTCCATAAGCATAAAACAGTAGAGCCTAGCCTTATGCATTTATCGTGACTTGCTAAAATCCTATACAATACCATACCATGCCAGTTACTATACAGAGGAAGGTGGCCGGGCGTCTCCCCCGTTCATCAGGGGCTGTGGCCGGGGAAGAGAAGGGGCGCCTGTCACGTGGGTGCTAAGTGGCTGGCCGCACCGGGTTGGGCAGACAGCCCAGCGAAGCTCGGATGCCTGTATCCCCGGCTGCGATGTTTAACGGAACCAGGAGTCCAACCCGCCTAACACGAGACGAGAACAACCCCCTCCTCACTGGCCTCCCGGAGGGAGAACTGAGTGACACCTTAGACCACGTGGCCAGAGGAAGTCCGATCCGCATGTCCCGACTCAGCTGTGCAAATCAGTTATTCACTCTCCACTCGGTCGGCGTAGCCCGTTAGAACCACCTCGTCGTCATAAACACGCGACGCGGCCAGCTCGATGGTGAAAGGGGACGGACAGGGTGTGGAAAGGCATTCTGTGACCATTCTTGAAGAGCTCATAGAAAAGCTATGAAGGAAACACCAGCTATCCTGTCGATGTCACCGTCATGTAAACCTTGGCATCTTTTTTTTTTTTATATTAAATGTGTTTTACATATTGTACAACAGAGAAACCTGAACTGCTGATCTGACGTGCCGCTCACCGATCCCTCGGCTAAGGTGAGCGGCACAGGGAGTGGTTTTCCTGAGGTTTGTGAGAACTTTTCAAACGGAACAGCAGAAATCACAGTGGCCGAGGAACCGGGGCTGTGCGTTTCCGGGCCAGCTCCGCTCCCCGAGGCTCCTGCCGGCACTAAATGACCCGCCACTGCATGATGCTCGTGTCTTTGCCGCCTGTGGAGATAAGGTGGCTGTCGTCGCAGAGGAACTCGACGTTGGTGACGTGGCTGCTGTGCCCACTGTACACGTGGCTGGGAGCCTGGGAAGAAAGACACGAAGGGAGCTGAACGCGAAGCGCACTCTGTTGAGTCGGAAGGCGCTGGGATGCTATGGTCATGCTTCCGTCCCTTCGTCCCTCCCTCTCGGCAGCCGCCATCTGTGCCGTGCTTGGCGAGACACGGCAGGGACCCAGACCCAACCACGCGGAGTCCCTGCACATAGAGAATCTGGTCTGGCCTGGGGACAGACACGGGCAAGTGACCGCCCTGCGCAGTGACACGTTCAAGCCCAGACGGCTGTACCAGGCCCAGGGCGCCCAGCGGGGGGACGAAGCAGGCGCTGGGGTCTGGAGGGAAAGGGGTGTGCTGGTGAAGGGGGATCACAGGCAGGAAGGACCAGGCCAGGACGAGCTTGGCGGGGCCAGCATGGTGAGGGCGCCATGGTGGAGGGGTGAGGAGCCCATGATGGGGGCGACACGGGGAGATAAGCCAGGTCTCGGGGCTTCTAAGGGTCCCCCGGAGGGCAGAGGCAGCCCCTGAAGTCTTGTAGGGCGGTGGATGACAGGGCCAAGTCTGCTCCTGGGACAGGTGGCATTTACTCACACCGCCTTTCTTCTCAGTTACCGAGGCAGGTGAGGCCGCACACGCGCCCCAGGAGGGGGGAACCGTGAAGCCAGGTCCTCACCCTGAACTGCGAGCAGGGGTAGGAGAAGAGGTGCACTTTGCCGAAGTCGTCGCCCGTTGACAGCAGCTTCCTCTCATGGGCCCGGCAGATGGCATTGATGTCCGTCCCGTCCGAGCCTTCTGGCCACACTCCTGACACGGAGAGCACAGACAGGGCGCTGGAAATGCCAGAGGCGCTGGGCCACGCTGCCCGGGGACTGGCTGTTGAGCTCTCGCCAAAATAAAACGGCCTAAGTCCCGGGCTTGGGCACCGGGGCTCCCAGCCGCTCCCGGGAACCCTCACCGCTTGGCCCTGTCCTGCTGCTGGGGCAGTGGTGACAGGCCTCCTCCTTTTCCAGGCCCTTCTCGGTAACACAGCAGCAATCATGCCAGGAGCTCCGGTTCTGGACACAACGCCTTCCCACCATCCCCCAAAAATCTGATGGGTGGCCGACTAGTCTGCAGCCTGCAATTTCCTAACTTTTCTTTTTTCTGGGTGACTCTTTACATGTGAGAGTCTCTCCAGAGGACTTTTTAACCCTGGGCCTGTGTGCCCTTCAGGCTTTTCCTGCTGTCAGCTCCTCATGGCTGCAGCTCGCTTCGGGGCACCCAGCACGGGTGGTGTGTCTGCCGTGGGCCGGGTGAGGCAGCCGCTCCGGCCCTGCAGCCCTGGGCTCAGGTGGGCCTGACGAGTGGGGTGGGGGCGGCGTCTCCTGGCCTGACGAGTGGGGTGGGGGTGGCGTCTCCTGACCGGTGCTCAGGGAAACCCTTTTGGCTTCAGTAACTTTGGATCTGAGAGCGCTGGATGCACACCAGCCCTTCGACTGGCGGTTTGGGAGAAAACGCGGGTGGGGGTGTCCTAGCATTTAGCACCAGAAAATGGTAAAATGCTAGCTTTAAGAAGATTTGTGAAATTCTGACCCACTTATCGTGGGTTCACATAAACAGATTAGAAGTACTGCTTTTTTAAAAAAAATTCTACTAAATTGTGGCAATCTATTTTAGATCATTTAAGACTATACTTCTAATCTGAACTTCGAAGGACGTGAAAATTTTAGTTTAAGGACCAAAGAGATACGGCAATAACTAACAAAAGGTAAGTAAATCAGCTGAGTGCCATCTGGCCCATCTATGGAGGAAGTTCGGCACAGCCTTCTCACGTGAGAAGGTTCTAGAGAACTAACTCGGGACTCATTTCATACCCTTCTCCTGGTCCTTCCTGCCCGGCCCTGGGGTGCTGCATGAGGTGCATCCTGTGGGGTTCATGCAGCAGCAGAGCAGTGTGACAAAACCATGAGAATTCCCAACAATTAGAAAATACTCTCGAGTAGACACATCTTCCATTTGAGCCAAGTGAAATCTGCAGGAAACTCACCGAAGACATGGAACCCCAAAGTGCACGTGTACGTAGCCCATTCTATGTCCCTTGTAGTCTCCACACTTACGACTTGCTTACAAGCAGAGGGAACCCCTGAGAAAAACAAACACAGGCCTGGTGACGTCTGAGCCAAAGCCCCCTCTCCTTCTGGGGCGGGGCTGGGCCCTCGGAGCCACGTGTCGTGGGCTACAGAGCCCTCTGGAGAGGGACACGCTCCACTCCCCAGCCCGGGGCCTTCGGCCTCCTCCCCGACCTCTGGCTGGTTTCCCCTCGTCCAGCTTCTCTTTGACTGTCCTCTGGTTCCTAGGCCTCCACCCACTCATGTCCCCCCAGAACCCCCAAACACAACTCAGCCCCCTGCTGTCCGGCTCCCCTACTTTCTGCACACGCGTGCATGCGCGCGCACACACACCCACCCATACGCACACGATCCCTTCACCTCTGAGTCAGAAACGGACGCTTACGGAAATCAGTCTGACCAAGGACCTAAGGCCTCCCAGGGGCTTTGCCTGTGCCCCAAATGAGCTCTCACTACTGGAGTATGAGACTGTGTCTGAGAAGATTCTAGACCCAGGGCCTGTCCCTGAAAACCATCCCCCCAGCCCCGTTTCTGCCCTGTGTCAGGCAAAACCTTGGAGAGGGCAGGGAGGGGACACCAGGTGCTGCCTGCCCGGCTGGAGGGAGGCATGGGCCTGGCGCTGGGCTCTTCTCCCTTTCCTCTACCTTTCCCCTTCTCCTCCGCCTGCCTAGGCCCCTCAACAAGGGGGTGCCCACACCCCCGCCCCCCCGCACTGGCTCCTGATGCCTGTGGCCTCACGCCTGAGCCCAGACCTCCGTGCCTGTGAACTGGGATAAGCCTGGAAGCGCTGAGGGTCATGTGGGAAGACGCAGATGAGGATGCTGCACTTTTTAGTAGCTTCCGGCGGGGCAGAGACCAGGCCCGCTCGTACCCGTGACTCCCTGTGCTTAGGCCAGAGCCGGGCATGTGGCAGGTGCTCGGCAGCTGTTTGAGGAACCTGAGCATGGCATGTCATGTGTGCTTAGTAAGTGGCAGCCACTCTCACCCTCACTGGTCCCAGGTCCTGCCTGGGCACGGACACTGGTGAGAGGGGCTGGGGGAGCAGGGAAGGGGTCCCGGGAGGGCTGCTGTCCACCCTGGTGGGAGACACTTCATGGTCTGCCTGCTCGGGATGACGTCCCCACAGCGTCCCTCTTGCTGTGATGGCTCTGACCCTCTCTCTTCTGCTGCATCTGGCCCCCTCCAGCCTCATTCTCCTCGGGGGCCGCATCCCCTCAACAGGGACCTCGGTCGGCCCGAACCCCACTTGTCTCAGTGCTGGGAAAGACTTGAGAGGTCGTGCGGCCCAACTCCTCTGTTTACAGAGCAGGGAACTGGGGGAGCGGAGGCCCGAGCTGTGCGGGAAGGGTTTTGCGGGAGCACACGCGCTCCCGGGCGCCACTCACAGTAGAGGATCTCGTAGTCTCCCGAATTGGAGACGAGGAACTGCGAGTTCACCGACCAGTCCAGGTGGGTGATGAAGCTGGAATGGCCCTGGAGGAGAAGAACAGCACGTGAGCTTCCCTCGCCCCGTGACCTCCTGACCCACGCTACGCCGATGACAGTCAAGGGCGACACGTGTGCCCGCGCGGTGACGCGTGCGCTTACCGAGCATTTGCCGACTCGGGTGTACTTCCGGCCGTTGTCGCTGACACCGTAAATATAGATACAGTTGTCATGGGAGCCTATTGCTAAGAAATTCCCATCTACAAAGATACGACAGATTACATTTCAATTGTTAAAAATAAGCATTTGATTAATTCTAAGAGATGATGCTAGTTGCCATCACAGATTAAAAAAAAACAAAACAGCCAGTTCAATGAATTATTTCAAAGAGAATAATTTGCTTTTGAATGAGTCCTATGCCACTTCCAAAACCACCTTTTGAAAATCTGTACCTGCCCATTTGGAAGGCAGTGGGCAGTTTCATAAGATGTTCGATGTCAACGGACCATACAATCCACTAATTCTACTGAGGAGTTAACTCAAGAGACTTAAAAACAAATCACTGTTCATAAAAAAAAAAAGTCCACAAAGAACAAATGTCTACAAAAAGGGTATATAATGAATGTCCATAGCAGTATTATTCATAGTAGCCACACCACAGAAACAATCCAGTGTCCGTTAACGGATGGGATGGATAAATAAGATGAGCACAACCCAGCAATTAAAAAGAAATTCCTGATACGTGCACAATAACAAAAATGAACCTCAAAAACATCATTCTACGTAAAGGACGCCAGATGTGATAGGCTACATGTCATATAGCTTCATTGATATGAGGTGCCATAAACAGGCAATTCATGGACCAGAACAGCAGATTAGCCGGTGCCCAGGCCTGGGAGTGGACGCGGAGAGTAATGGCTGATGGGAAGCGGGGTGGGGGGGAACTTTCTGGGGTGCTGGAAAGGTTCTAAAATTGGACCATGGTGATGGATGAATGACTCCACAAATTTACTAAGAATCAGTGAGCTGTATGTAAATTATACTTCAATAAAGCTGTTAAAAAAGAGTCTTGATCTTTTTGAGATATATACAGTGACATTAACAGATAAAAGATAAGATATCAGGGAACTCCACATAACATGGGAGTGGCCAGTGGGCGGGGTTACAGAGAATAAGATGGACTGAGAGTCAGTAATTGCTGCAGCTGGAAGATGGGGCGTGGGGTTCATACGCTCTTCTAATTTTGTCTGTCTGAAAATTTCCATCATCAAAACTTAAAAAACACACAGGCACAGTGATCAAAGAAGGGAAGGGAACCCCGAAATGTCACGATTATGTGCATGTATAGTTGAAATTTCACGCCGAGGAGGCTTGTGAAATGTTTTTCTTTAAAGACATCTACACAGAAGTTCATCAGTCTGTTGGGCTTTTATCGTAGTGAATGGTTTGCTTTCCGACCTGGTGAGTAGCGCATTACAGAGAGCTGCTCATTCCCATCCGTGTGAACAGTGACCAAGTCTTTCGTTTCTGTGTCAAACACAAACCACCTGTCGTAAACATGAGAAAAAGCACAAAAAGTCATTTAGTGGGAAAATGAAGACTATGACAATAGTAAGACTTAAAAGCTATTAATCTAAGGGCTTAATAAATATTCTGTCTCTGTAAGAACACTTCTTCTCGCTTTTATTTTATTTATTTATTTTTTTAGGCGAGGCAACCCTTGGCTGACCTCACAGATTGCAAGGCCCTAGTCAGCTTACAATCCCTTATTTTTTATTTTTTACGCCTATAGTGCGTGGTCTTCCTAGGTGGTCTCCCATCCAAGTACTAACCAGGCCCGACCCTGCTTAGCTTCCGAGATCAGACGGGATCCGGTTTGTTCAGGGTGGTCTGGCCGTAGACTCCAGCTTTTATTCTAAGAACATTTCCTGCATACGAGCATTTCCTAAAGAACGAAGCAGCATATCGGATGCCCATTGAAATGGTTCGGTTACCGAGGCTACGACAGGGCTCCTCGATGTCTGAGTTGTGTCACTTCCATGTAAGAAGACAGACAGCCCTGGGCAGGGTGGCCAGACCAGCCGCTAACGCTGGCCCGTGGCCACAGGAAGCGGCAAAGGGGCCCCCTGCATGGGCTTACCCAGGGACATGACCGGGGCGAGCAGGATGGGTCTGGGAAGGTGGGGCTGGGACAGCCTCGGGGATGGGGACGCTCCCCGCCGTGCTGTGCAGGCAGAGGCAGGTCAGCGTCTGACCCTCCGTGGATGCTGGCGTGTCACCAGCCAGGTGAAAGAAATGACGGCGAGGAGGGAAGAAGGGCGAATGGGGTGCTATTCTGAGTTGACCTCTCCTAGCTCGGCTCCCCCAGCTGTAAGATGGGGACCGGGGCCCACAGCCACTTTGCAGGCTCAGTGTTAAATCAGTTGCAACAGATATGGACGGGCTATGTATCCTCTCGTGAGGACGCGGCCCTTGGGGAATGTTAAGTGACGAATGCCTGCACTGTCCTGCCCGTATGTCCTCTGGTGGAGGCAGTAACTGAGACTCCAGAGCTCTCAGGGATGGAGAGGAAGGTGGGCCTCCTGCTGCTGCAGTTTCAAACCCAGATGACACATTCCCTAAGCGCATCCCCTCCGCCGGCATCACTCGGGCCCTGACCATCGCCACCCGGTGGGCCGGGCTGACACCCCTGACATTTGGATTTGGCTTCCCAGCTTTGATCTCTTACATCTGCAACATCCATTGACCTTTAACGTGCTAGCTAACCTTAACAGAGGTCAGATCACAGGAGGCAGAGAGACTGGAGCTGAGTGAGCCAAGCCTTTGACAGGTCTGTTGAGCTGTCCCATCAAGAGCTAAGGCTGGCGCTCGGCCCAGAGGTGTAGGAGGTATAAACGCAGGGAAGGGATTGGGCCACACGTTCCATCTGCCCCCACAGGACACTGTCCGTGATTCTGAGCAACCTGGCACTGTCACCATCCCATCTCACCACACACACACAGTATGTAGATGATGGCAAGAACTGGCTGGTGGCCATTCGTCTAACTGCTGAGTTCGGAGCTGCGGCTGTCCCCAAGAATTATAAGGTAGGCTGTGTGTGTATTCGTGTGTGCGTGTGTGCGTGTGTGCATGTGTATGGCTATGCAAACATTTTCATGAAGAATTCTGTTGGATATAAGATGCCCAGCTCTTAGCACCTGTGACTTATAAATGATTACTCCTTCTTTAGACGTACTCTGCAGTCATAACCACAGAATCTAAGTGGTATGCTCGGAGAGGAAGAAATCACCAGAAATATTTGAATTAAATTATAATAAGTGTATATACGATGGCAAACAATATAAAAGTATGACTGAAACTTATACAACGACGCTGCTAAGCACCGCCACCTCCTGCCAGGCAGCCCCAGGAAATGCTCTCCCCACACCGGCCCCTCTGTCCGTCGGCACCGCAGCGTGGCTAGGCACCTCCTATGACCATGATTTTGAAAGGGCAGCAAGAAAAAGGAGTTTTAAATTCTCAGCACTTGAAATGCCCTCTCTCCCGATTCTGAAGTTGAGGTTCTTCCCGCAGCTTGCA